AAGTAGCAATACAGCAATGCAATAAAGATAGATTAGATCAAGTTGAACACGACTATCTTTCCCTAGCTACTGAAATCCTATCCTCTTCACCTCGTTAAAAAGTTCTCAGCAACTTCTTAACGAGGTGAAGAGGATAGGATTTCAGTAGCTGCGCGCGGTAGATTGAAATTCGGGTAACATCACAGTGAAGTTGAAAGTTTTATTAGAATTTTCATTTGCTATTACTAGTAGCTGATATTATGGTAGCTCATCCATGACTCTATGGAGCACATCGTCCAAAAACTGTTTTCAGGATGCCCATCACATTTTTTCGTTTGCAAGGACAAAAGTGCTTGCATCGATCCGGCTCTTTTCCAGGATGGAATTCGTCACTGCAAAGACGGTAGCGATGAGCGTGAGTTCCTTTCAACTACTTTTCGATAACCATTTATGCAGTGTAGTGTAATGTAATGTAATGTACCGAAAAATCGCTGAACCAAGAAAATCATCGGATGAGTGAATTCGTTCTGGAACAAGGTAGTCTGGAAAAGGTGCTGCTTCACATACATACTCTTATACAAGTGATAGAAGGATGTCTCGGCTACGGCTGCATAGTTCGTCGTCAACTCTTATCTCTTCTACTTACACTCTTCTCTTAGGCTGCGTTTATACTTTGCGGCAGCGTAGCGTAGCGCTTCCAGCGTACGCCAGCGGCAGTGCCGGGGAGAGGATGGATATCGATCTAGCGTTCCCAGCGTCACCAGCGCTAGCGTTTCACCAGCGTTTTGCTAGCGTTTGCAGCGGCAGGGGAGTAGAGACTATGGGAGAGCTGGAGGGTACAAAACACATCGATTGCGCGTCTCTGACGGCCACATAGTCTCTACTCCCCTGCCGCTGCAAACGCCAGCAAAACGCTGGTGAAACGCTGGCGAAACGCTGGCGTACGCTAGCGTTACGCTGGTGACGCTGGGAACGCTAGATCGATATCCATCCTCTCCCCGGCACTGCCGCAAAGTATAAACGCAGCCTTACGCATCATCTCTGCCCTGTAGTCTGGACGTTGGCACTTTCACACCAGCTTTGATAGTTGCCGCTGTCAGGTGGACTGTACTTCACGCGAAAGCGAACTCACCGTAAAGTCTTGTTGAAAAATTGCCATGTGTCTAATGAGTAGTAAAGATCATGAGAAGACTTTCCCTTCTTTTTACATTTAATTTCGAAAGCCTCTGGAGAACTGAAAGGTATTTTATCTATTCAGCATGTGCTCCTGGCTTGTTTCCGTGCACTAACTCGTCCAAGTGCATTTCCATGAGGAAGTTCCAGAATGGAGTCGATGACTGTGAAGATGGCAGCGATGAAGGTGAGGGTACATACATATACACGACATCTCCTCGTATGATTTCACTGATGAATACTGAATTGTGGGTTCGGAGAAACCCCAACGGAGAGGTATTGGTCCGGTTAGAGGGGGGGGGGGAAGCGTAATTGGGACCTGAAATATTTTTCCGTGCGAGGACAGTGCTTTGCTTCAGCTTTCCAGCAGGCGGTGCGGCTCGACAAATCAGTTAAAATTAAGGCGTCGGCGGATCATGGCCCTTAGCTTTTTTGGTAGCTCATTTTTCACACCCGCTCTGCACATAACTTTGGTAGCTCCATCAGGAAAGATTGTATTTTTTTTGTCGCTCTAAGAGGGGGAGAGCATATCATCCCGAGAATCTTTCCTGAGCGCAAAAAACTTTTCTCCGGATGTCGACTTTCTGCATTTTTGCCCATGTAAAGACGTGAAAGGGGAAGCTTAAGTTAGTGGTTCTACTCTGTGAAGATTTTCCCCAGAGACAAGATGCGCCCCTTGCCAATAGTATAGTCGTTTTCGCCGCAGACTTTTGAGCGTGCCAAGGAGTTCCGTTCAGGGGTTGGCGTTTGGCGTCACGAAAGCAAAAGTGGGGGTGTGTTGAACCATTATTTTCGCTGTCCGCTTCCAGCAGTTGCGAAGAGCGGACGCGCCGCCGCAGACTCAGCCCGCTGCTTTCCATCGTATGTTGCATGCTACTCCCTCTTTTAAGTGATGCGTACTTCACTTCAGATGCGATTTTTGCAGGAATGTACTACTTCTCAAGTGGAATGCGGTGTGTGGAAAGGGACTCGTTGTGTGCGTGCTCGGGAGCCGGGTTTGGCCGGACGGCTGTCTGGGACTGCGAAGAATGGGCACAGGATGAGGCTGCTTCATGTACCCGAGTTCCGCTCCATCTAGCATTCGCTTCATTTCTTCTGTGTGGCTCCCGGTCGAGTATTTTCTGATGGACGAAATTTCAGACAAGTACTGTGAAGATGGTTCGTTGCGGAGGAATGGAGCGAACTCGTTAGTGATGGGCCAAATACAACTGTGCGCTAATTCTTCCTTATGCCATCGAAAACTCGGAGAGATCTGCATTGTATGTTGTATTTTTTTGTGTAATCCCTCAGGCTTTGACAAAAGATTTTTCCGAATTTCAGCGTTCGGGGGCTCGTGCGCTGTGCTGTGATGTCAACGAGGAGCGTTCGTGCCTTGGCCGGTTGTCCGATGGTATCCCAATGCACATGAGTGGAGGGCAAATCTCCGAGAACCCCTGCCAAATTGCACGGAAGCCCGCCAGGACTTGCAGATGCTTTACAACAACTCTTCCGGTGAGGCCTTCTCTGTTTGATTTCACTAACTCATCGGTTATTTTCGAAATAAAAGTTTAAAAAAACTAAAATTTTCAAAAAATCAGCTCTGGCTAGGATTTACTGGCACTCTTGGGAAATATGTTTCTTCTTAGGTATGGTTAGCGCTAGAGAATTCCTTCATGAACAAATGGCGTTTCTCTTTTCCACTACTGCCGTGATATTGTCTTCTTACAGGTTTCCTGGGAAAGTTGGCCCGAGCCATACCGTATTCACAGCAAGTTCGTCGAGCACCGTCGTCGCCGCAACCGCAGGTAATTACTAGTTCATGATTTTACAATCATGAAGATCAGCCTGTGGGTCTAAAAGCGCAGAGTACTTAGCAGACGGGTCTGCGGTTGCTTAAAAACTCAAATGAACATCATATCCTGGAGGTGGAGGGGGCGTGGCTACGCGCTTCATTTGATCGTAGCTGCCGCTGCTCTTCAGTGGGATAGTCGTTTTAGGACACTGGCAGCATGTCTTTGGTTGTTGCAGAACAGTAGTATGGGAGCTTACCTCAATGGAAATCATCCAACAAGAAACGCATTGTACGCCATGTTCAAATAAAGTACACAATCACGCCCCCTCCATCTCTGAGATGAGGGGTTTACTCTTGATCTTCCAGGCTCACCACCACCGTGTATTGACCAAACAGGCCTAGTTTCATGTTATCACAGACATTCTACAGCTTTCAGCACCGCTCAATAAATCCCAGGAAACTTCCTTTTCGGTTTCGCTAGAACATTAAAGGCAGTTGGCACGATAAATCCTCCAAGACGAGCAGGACTAATACGCCTGGCAGGACGGAATTCCGCGACCCTGAGCAGGCGCTGCATAATGCCTTTTCCAGGGAAGGTGCCCTTATAAGGGCGCTATCAAGCCACAACTTTACGTCCCAAACGCCCCCTTGCCCGCCCGCCCGCCCACAAATGGACGACTGTTCCAGACGCTCTAATTGATTCATTTGCTAAGCAAATTATGAAGCGAAGGCATTGGTATGAAGCGGTCTGATGACATATGGAGGTACAATACAGTACTACCTTCGGTAGCGGTTATTGGCAAGATGCCTACGGGAAACTCGTCCAAAATTGATTACTAACACAGTGAGAACGGAGGCTCTTTTTTCGCAGGATTTTGACCGTTTCACTCCGTTCGCCATTTCCCCACTATATAGCGCCCTACTAGCATTTTAGGCCGAGCACCCAAATCATCGTGCCAACTGCCTTTAAGCAAACACAAGGGGTGGCCACGCTCGTAGGAACAGATAATCCATGAGTTGCTCATTTACATTTACCATAACTACGGTCATTATCCGTACAAGAAAGAGGGGAGTGAGAGGCGTGGAGCAATGCCGACGAGACGGACCTTCCACCAACTGATGCCATCCTGAATCCTCAACAATCGGTGCAAAAGGCTCTTCTGGCTGCACTTCGATCCACGCCCCTTCACAATCCCTTTCGTTTGCGGATAACCCAATTGCAGATTTAGCTATTTTTTGTTTTTCTGAATGTGCAGAGTCCCTTCTGGAAAGGACCATTTCTTTCAATTGAAAGTGGATGGTTTAGGAAGCTAGGGTCTTGTTCTGCTTATTGCTAGATGTTCGCGGTGTGTAAAAATTACAGCCTCATAGCGGAGCGGATTAAACACCTTAAATCTCTAAAGACGAGTACGACTGATACGCCTGGCAGGGCGGATTTCCGCGACCCTGAGTAGGCGCATAGGCGCTGCGTAGCGGTACTATCACCCTTATGAGGGTACTATCAGGCTAGAACATACTGACCCAAACGCCCTCCACGCCCGCCCGCCCACAAAATGGACGACCTTACCAGATGCTCGTTTTGCTTCATTTGCTATTTAAAATATGAAGCGAAGGGAATGGTATGAAGCGGCTGCAGTGCTGAATGGATATATGAGTACATACATGCAGCCGTACCTACCGGAGCGGTTATTTGCAATACGCCTACGGGAAACTCGTCCGAAATTGCTTTTCAAGAACGAAGGCTTTTCTTCGCAGTTTTCGACCGTTTCACTTCGTTTTTTCGCCATTTTCCCACTAGATAGCGCCCTGCTAGCATTTTAGGCTGAGTACCAAATTATCGTGCCAACTGCTTTAAAGGCACAGTTCGCGACCGCAAATTGCGGGAAACGGAACTCAAATAGGCACAAAAAAGTGCTAAGTATCTGATTAGCGGAGAAAAGCAGCAGAAAAAGCAGTCCGAAATGTTATAGAGAAAGATAACATAGTGGCTACTAGCTAGTAGCTAGCAGCCGGTGAGGGTCGGCATGGGCCTAAGGGGTGTCCATGGGCCTAATTAGTCAGCTTCTAGCGGAGTTCTTGCCGTTTTTCACATTTTGAAAGTAGCGCAGCCTCAAAAATCGCCTTCCGGATCGTCCGACACATTTGAGAGGTCATAGCCTTATTTTATCGCGGAATGTGCCTTTAAGAGGTGCCTATGAATTAGCATCACACAGCCTTCATTACCAAGATTCTTTTGCCTGAATAGCCTCAACTGCGGAATTTATCGTGCCAACTGCCTTTAACTGGATTACCGTGTCATTCAACATGCCTTTTGCCTGTGGTATACATACAGTGTTAAATGTCCGACTTTCCACAAATTACACCTGCACTCTGGCTAAATTCGCTGCTCCGAACCAGTTGATGATTGATGTTCCCGCGCAGGATATTCATCAACCGTATATCATTCTGTAACTGTGTGCGTTGAAATTCAGCGTTTGCTGTGTCAGATGTTGGCAGAGAGTTATCGGGGGCAGTGAGTGTGTTAGTTTAGTTCATTCACTTATGAAGGGTCACAGATCAAAGTGGATTTGTAAGGTGCTTAAAACCCCTCGACCTTCCTATGTGTCCTCGGACACTCATCTAGAACCTATTCTCCGAATTTGCGAAGCGACTTTCTGAGTTGAGTAATAGGCAGTTTTTGAACAATTTTTGACTATAAAGGGCGAATTATAGATAGATGAACCGTAGGAGCAGAGGTCAAAGTATTCAGAGGAGCCAAGCCCGTTCAAGGGTGGTTTCGGCGCAGAATGGCCGATTTCATTGACTCCCTGGGCTAGTCATTTTGTGCCTCCGATATTAAAGGCACGCTAATTTAACACGTTGACGACAATCGCGTTTTGCGGGAAAGCGCCACGTGGGACAATGGCGTGCTTTCGCATGCGTCCGCCCTGAGCCACCGGTGGCTCATATTGTCCCTCGTGGACCCA